ACTGTGAAAGCAGGACGTGAACAGAAAATAGGGATGTGGTTCTGTATAATTCTGTTTTGCAGTAAAACAAATACATGGGATGGAACATAACCCTGTACTGTTTTAACTGTAGTACCAGCAGTTACATTCACTGGCACATCATTTAGAGCCAACTCTGTGCTCTTTTATGCCAGGAAGTGGGAACTGTGCTCTTGGTGTGAAACCTAAAGACTGTTAAAAAACATTCAGCCAGGTAGGAAGGATCGGGTTTGATTGACATTGCACATGCACAACAGGCTTGCTTCCAAGGAAGAAATGCATCTTGTAGGAAAGGACTTAGGGGTTATTTCACATTCCCACTATTTGCATTATTGTGCAATGTGCTCGAGTTGTGGAGTACTGAAACGGTTTGTGTGTGCTTCTTCTACAAATCCACTTTTAAATGCTGATACTCTAGTAATTTGTATTAATACTTTTCATTTGATCATTTGATCAGATTTGATATTAATACATTTCATTTGATAGTCATCCCTCTTACCTGAAGGGGATATGTTCCACAGAAGACTGAAACTGAGGCAAAAACCAAACCCTATGTGTCCTGTGGTTGTTTTCTATACATACTTGCCTATGATAAAATTTAATTTATAAATAAGCACAGTGAGAGATTAACAATGAATAATAAAATAGAAAAATTATAACAGCATACTGCATTAAAAGTTATTTAAAACATTAATTATTTCTGGAATTTTCACTTCATATTTTTGAATCATGATTGACAATAAGCATCTTCAACTGCAGAGAGTGGAATCACAAATGCTGAGCTGGGTTACTGTAATCTGCAGAATCAAAAAAGCTAGTGCTTTAATGATGCGTTCAAAATTCTACTGATATGTGAGGTTTCATTTATTTTAAATATTGGAAATGAAAACATAATATTCTACCGACCCTAGGGTGGGACACAATGAGGTCATAGGAGTGTGCAGAACAGGCCTGGACGCTGAGGGCCTTGGGCGCGACCACTGGAATGAGATGCTGGCCTACCACAGAAAGCCCATCACACACTGGCATCCCCTGCTGGAGGTGAGCTCTCCGTCCCCTCACCTCCACCCTCTGTGTCACCTCTGTGGCTTAAATGTTACTTATCTGCTAATCTTTATCTGGCATTTTATGCATTCACCTATTAAAAAATTGTTCTTTTGTCTTATAGGGCTAACATCTAGTAGGCAAAGTTTTGTATGCATCATGAGTTTTTAAAACCGCTATACATTCTGGGCTTCTTTCTCTTTTTTTCTTCCTTCCTTCCTTCCTTTCTTTCTTTCTTTTTTCTTTTCTTTTCTTTCTTTCTTTTTTTTCTTTCTTTTTTTCTTCCCTTTTCTGCATGTGTGATACTGAGGATTGAACCCACACAGGTACATAGCTCCAGACTACATCTCTAGCCCTTTTTAAATTTTATTGTGAGATACATTTTCACTAAATTCTCCAGGCTAGTCTCAAATTTGCAATCCTGCTATCTCAGACTCCAAAATACCACAGTTACTAGGTGTGTCACCACACCCAGCTTGGGCTTCAGATTTTTTGGACAGTTGGCCATAAACACTGCAGTAGATCATTTTCTTCACATAACTTGAAATTTTATACCACTCAGTAGTGGGGCAACCTAGTAAGTTTATTGCTAAATGGGAACTTAAATTTTAGTGCTTTTCTCTTGTGAAAACAGACACCTTACCTAAAGTCTCTTCCATTTAAGAATCCTTAGAGGGACGTACTCTCACCTAACACGGAACTTCTTTGTTCTCCTGCTCTGACTCCAGCCAGGAAGAGCCAGCATACGTTAGGCACACTAAGGGACAAGCCTACCTGAGTTCAAGACCTGGATCTGCTGTGTGACTATTGTGGAATCTTGCTAGAGTTACTCTACCTCTCTCAGTTTCTGCAGTGATGCTGTAATAGTAAATTCAGAGTAAAGCTGAATAAATACTGAGTACTAAGTGCTTAGCACAGGGAATGTTACAATGTTAGCCCTTATAATTAGCATTAATATTAGCCAGAGGAAGTAGCAGTACCAGTTTTCTATCAGGATATTTAGTCATGAAGTTAGCTGTCAGTCTACAGGACACAATTGATGTCACCAGGTTGAACGATTTTCCTTTCTAAAGACAATTTTGGGAGCTTCCTGAAGAGTCACAATATAAGTAATTTATATGATTGGGTGAATTGAGAGGTAATGCAGGTGCACAGAAGGATAGGCTAAGTAGGAGATGAAGGATTTTATGTATTTCAACAACGAGAATATAATATAGTAAATGAATGGCCCCTTTGCCATCTCCCCATGAGTAAGATTCTGCTTCTTCTTTTGGCACTAGGCACTGTACTGAAGAAAGGGAGAGAGTGTTCATTATATTTGACTAAATAACAGTAGGACCGGGTTCTAATTTCAGCTTAATCACAAAAGAATGACCTTGGCTGTGTTACTAAAGACAATGTAGAGAAAATTTGATGAGTACTGAATGTTCAGACAACAGAGGTGAACTGTCAGCATTGACATCTCTTTATATATGAATGCCTCAAGTCTTTATCTGACTTCATAATTTAATGTAAGGAGAGAGAGAGAGAGACCCCAATGACATGGAGTTTTCCCCTAGAGTGCTTTGTAAGTAGAGTCAGGCATATTCTCTGAAGAGCTCAATAAGTCTTGAAAAGTTCATTTCATGTCAACAGTGGATATTGTGTAAAATATTCTCGGCCGCTTGTTATATAATTACTGTCTTTTTCCCTGGTTCTCATCTTTTTTTGTTTCTTAAGTTAGAAAAGCAAAAATTAACCCTGAAGATTGAGACAGGAGAGTTAAATCTTGGTCAGACAGCAACCTACACTGAACACAGCCCCTGTCCCTCTCCTGTCTCCTGGACAGGTCACTGTCCCTACAGGCTTCATGGGGTGATGCAGGGAGAAATGTGATCACATGAGCAATAATTTTAATGGATGTGGGGAAAGGTGCTACAGAACCTGAGGCATATTAATCTTTGATAACTACTTAATAAGCAGTTACACATTTATCTGATGAACAGGAGCTATGGAATTCTCATGTGTTTGTGTCAGAGAACACCAGGAGAACACTTTTCAGTCTTAGTAGGATGTTCAGGGAGGTAAGTAAGCTACAATACGGGCATCACAAAAAGACGGAAGATAGTTTTCTGATAACTGAATATCAGAGAACTAGAGGGACTGAAAGACTGTAAATATACTCTCTGCAGAAAATAGCTCCTTTCTTCCAATCCCTGCTCCCATATTCATTGGTCAAATGAGACTAGAGACCTAAGAACTGGCTGGACTTCTCACTATGGGGAAAATTCAGTATATTATTATGTGTTCTTGCCAGACAAGGGATAAATTTGAGAGAAGAACAATTATTCAGGAGCTGGGTAAGTAACTTAGAGAGGCAGACTTAACTATCATTTAGAAGATCTGGTTACTACTATCTAGATAATCCAAAATTTATTCCATTGATTAAACTTTTTAAATACACACAAATACTTAAGGGTCATGAGGAATTATTCATCCTCATTCACGGCTCCCACCTCCCCAAACTCAGTCCTTCTCATCTCATTAATCACCTCCATTTGAAATCCCCTCGAGAGCCATGCACGGTGGCCCACATCTATAATCCCAGCTCTTAGGAAGTTATAAATGGGAAGATCACAAGTTTGATCCCAGCCTGGACAATTTAGTGAGACTGTCTCAAAAATAAATTAAAAACTAAAAGACCACCAGGGTATAGCTCAGCACTTCCTGGATCTAATCCCCAGCGTTGGGGGATGGGGTGGGAATCACCCCCTGCCTTGTGGCAGATGGAGTGCAATGTCATGTGTGTAAAATCTCTTGTTGCTCTTACCTAGCAGCTGTCTTCAATACAGTAAGCCATTATTTTATCAGAAGCATTAAAACTCTGCCATAAAGTATGAATTTATTCTGCTGTCATACGTAATTGCCATAGAGTGCTGCTCTGTGTGCCATCTGTGTACCATGCTCTGTGTACACCTCTGACCATTTGTGTCCCTTCAGGGGACACAAAAAGGTAGGGAGTTACATACATCTTCTCTTCAGACTTGTGCATGGTGGGTGAATATTCACTATTACAAGGGAGCAGCAATTACCCACTGTGTTATTTTATGCACTAGATAATATATTATAAAAATTATTATCTTTCAGTTACCTGGCCGGGCGACCAGTTTTGATAGTCAAGGATCCTGTTCATCTCCAAAACCACCTTCCACACCATAATGCCTCCAGTGTAAGACCCTGTAAGAAACACCTAGGGCATGTACTCCTTGGATCAAAAAAAAAAAGAAAAGCGGAAGGTTTGATTTCCTCACTTAAAATATATTCATAGAAATGAACAAACTTGATGTGCATTTTTTTCATTTACCTTTGTGTCTGTTTTTAAACTTTGAACATCTTAATACTTTTTACTTGAATATGAACAGTCCTTAGTTACATAAGGCATTTTATCCTTCATGTCATATGCCTATTAGCACAAAGAGAGTTTGAAAATGTACTTCTTTGCATAAGCAAAGAAACAAGTTTTTTTTTTAAAAAAAGGAATCAGTATTAAAATTAAATATAGTTTATGCTGCTATTGTATAAAGTAGTGTATCGCATATGTGTGGTTTTGCTTTTTTTACAACCTGTTCATTTTCAATTGTGCACATGTTCTATATAAACTTTAATGGACATTTTAACCTTCACATATGGACCACTAAGTCCTTGCACATTCACATTAATGTAGCTTATCTGATAATAGTTTTAATTTCAATCTCAGTATATTCTTTTCTTGGTGAGATTTGATTCTGCCAAACTCAAAACTTTGTCTCTCAACCTGTTCTTTAAAAAAATACAGATAAGTCTGTAAATTTAAAGAATCATATTGAGTAAAAATTTAAGTAAGTGAGAAGCTGGAAAGTGGAGGTTGAGTCCTTCCAGCAATCATTTATACTGTCTCTGTCACATTTGCTCAAACATCTGTTGCACTGTCAGCTGATATTTTAAAAATTCTGATAATCTCATGTGCAGTATTGGTATTCCTAAGTGAATAGAATCAGAAGTTCATTCTTTAAGTGTTATAAGGTACTCAAATTTTGTGGCACGTATTTTGTGATGTGAAGCTATAGCACAGATCCTATATTTCTGACAGATCCCACTGACAGACAACAGAGGTCCCACAAAACAGTCTGTGTTTCTTGTGACTTAGTCATATGCGGTAATGGTGACTCAAAACCAATCAGAAACTTAGCAGTTGAATTGGAGATTTTCCTAAAGAAAGTGTGATTTATTTTCCAGCAAACTATAGAAATGTACCATAAATAACTTCCACAAAATTTAATAAAAATAAACAAATTAGTTTTCAAGGTCCAGACCTCCAGTTCTTTCATGAAAGAAAGCATTTTCCTTCATAAGGATGAAGGATCAGGCTACTAGATGTAAAAACTATGCAAATGTTTTTACAATACAGACTTTTTAAAAAATCAGGTCAACTTTTTAATGTCTCGTTTTCAGGTCTTGTTGGAAGGTATCTGTATTGAATTTGCCCAAGCTTACTTTAGAGATGTGCACTGTAGATGGTGCATATTTCAACCTTACTCCAAAATAATAATTTCAGAAAAAGCAAGAAAATTTGTACTAGAAATATGAAAACAAATTCATCAGGATGAGAACACTTTATCACCAATTATGAAAATTGTATTTATTCCTTATTCCTATAAAAAAATGAAACCTTAGAAGCCTTGAAATTTTGTCTTCTGTCATCTCCTGTAATGATGGAATTACTGTTAAGATGTAAATATTCTACTCATTAACATTTTAAAGTCAAATATAGTTCTGCCTAAAATTTTTCTTAAAAAGCTTGTATTATCCTAATGAAAACAACTCTTCGTAGCTAATGGTTTCTCATTGAAAATAATAGGAGAAACCTGCTTGAAAATACTTGACTACCTTAGCAAGCTGAAAGGAACCATTTGCTAATAAGGGCAAAATGACTGAAGAAGACAATTGATTTTTTAACTTTATTTTAATAGGAGAGAAATGCCAAATGAAGACAAAACTCTTTGACTTTTTTGGAGACAATTGTTTTATTAGTAGATACAGCTACATCCTAAAGTAAATTAGCAAATTAATTTCCTAAGTAAGTGAGTATAATACACATTTTTACCCAAAAACGTATTTTAAGGATTTCTTATTCATCCTTAAAAACTTGTGTTTTCCTTTGTTTCCTAAGGAGAAAAAGCCAAAGTTTGTGACAAAAAAATGACTTTAATGTGAGGATTATAGATTAATATAAGTTTTTAAAATAATTTTTAAAGCTTGAAAACTTTTTTTTAGGGATTAGAATAAACTTATAATATCAGAGTACTTGTTAATCCTGTGAAAGACGTTAAAGAGAGGAAATTCCCAACTCATATTTCATGCAGTACATGAGGGACCTTTCCCCTCAGATCAGTCAAGTGTGATCATTGGAAAGGACAGCTGACATTAGGAAAATGCAGTCCTGCCACTTCTAACACAGCGTCCTCCCCTTCTACACATCCACACACACCTAAGTTGTCTTTCTGCCTGTGATTGAAGATGAAATATTTTTAGTGTTTAAAATAAAGTTTGATGTTGGAAATATCCTCAACTAATTTATGTGGGATATCACATTTTATTGACAGTGGTGACACATTATGAAGTTGTAGTTTAGGTACATAATAAATACCTAATTTCAGGGAATTATTCAGGGACTTAAATAAGATATGCCTGTGTAAAAGATCAAGTGTTGATTCATTAGCATAACAACACTGATATCCATTAGATTTTTGGGTTTTGTTGTTGATCTTACCTTTATATAATCTTTATACAAAACTGAACAGTTCATTGTTTTTCTCACTAGTTTCCTAATAATATTTTTCTCGACAATTTTAGTTTTCTTAGTCCAGCCAGCCCTATTCCTGGTACTTTACTGTACATATAAAATTCACCATATTAATATATTCACAGCCCAATGGCAAATATCATTAGGAATAGTGCCAGGGGCAGAGTGTTGCGGGTGCAGAGCCACACACTTTCTGGCACAGTTTTGGGGACTTGAGCACGTTCTAGTTACTGCAGGGAAATCACAACTGATCAATATTGACTCAGGTTCTATATTAAAGCAAATATATTTAAACCTCTTTGGTTGTGATATTGAGTGACAGTTGCGACTATACTTTTTCTCCTACAAGATTTCCTTTATATTATTTTAAAATTCTGCACTCAATAGAGAGCTGTCAATATCATAAAGTTTTCATTTAACTATTACTTGGAAAATGACAAAGTCAAACTTCCATTCCTATCTCAACTTTACTATCTACAAGGCAAAATATGGCTCATTTCAGAATGAGTTACAAAGATAACCAAACGAAGTTACAAATAAAGGGATACAAAATCTTAACAGTAAACACATGGCAATTTATTTACCTTTCTGAAAAGACTACTTGATGTTATTTAAGAATATCTATGCTCATGAGATGGAGTTGATCTAATATTTTGGCCACATTAGTTGGGATTACAACCAGGTAATTTGACTACCTGATAATTAAAAAAGAAAACTGGGGTTGATAAGGATTTAAGAAAGTCTTCAGCCTCTGTAAATCTAAAGAAAATGTCGAGATCTCTCTTTCACAATTTGATATTAAAACAACTCCAGTTGTTCTGGGGTACTTTAATTGTTCTTAACTTTTATAATATTTAGGCTAAAAATGTATTGTCATCAAATGATACAAAAGAACTGAAAGTAATATAACTTAAAGAATCAACATAATTCGTAGTTAATCAAACATGTTATAGCATAGGAAAATAAATATATTGAGATGCAAAAATCAAAAAATTCCTTTGTATTTTAACTTTAGTGTACAGTATATTCTCTAACATTGTTCCAAAAAACTCCATGACACACCATTTAATAGTTCCTCAGTGACATGGCTCAGGATATGATTCATCTGAACCTGCTTTAAGGACTTATTATTTAAAAGAACATTAATTTGTATTGTACCATGGGAATCAGAGTTGATTAAACAAACTATTGTTTCCAGTATGTTATTCAGTGACAGCCTTTTAGGTAAGAATTTTGTTTTATTAAAAGACTTCTATATTTACTAAATATTCTGTTAGAGTGAGTAGTAATTTAATAAAAGATATGTTGGTAATTACATTATCTGCCATTAACATTTAAACAAAAAAGATGTGTATTTGAACAGTGGCACTGGATATTTGGTTCAAGTGTATTCTCATCAAAGTAAAAAATTATTTTCATTTTTACCATGTTCGTCATGAAAATAGGGCACACAGGTTTGATTTGGTAGCATGACAACATCATGCTGTGGAGACTTGGAAAAGAAAGCACTAAATTGAAGGCTGAGGTGGACTTAATGATGTATTGAATGCAAACATTTTGAATACTAGAAACCGTGACTGAAAAAATAAGCCAAAGACATTTAAGAGAAACGATGGGCTTCTTTGTACCCGAGATAACTCAGTTATACTCTTGTCAGGAGGAAATGATTAGATTAATTCTATTTTTAACCCTTCTGAGACACTAGAAAGGACTTACTATTGATAGATATATTTACATGGAAATATTTTAATCTCACATCTCCAATAAATCCCTCTAGAATCTCACCTGTACTTTGAGAATCCTCTTTAAAGAGTCAAAACTGTGCTCAATCTTGGCACCAGAGGGTAAAACTGAGCCATTTTATTCTGAGGTTTTGTTGTGATGCATCTGCTGTGCAAGGAACACCCTATTAACTGTGCAGGTTGGCGAAGTTCAGTCATTCAATTTCATGGTTTTTGTTACCTCAAAAACAATTGATTGCTGAACATGATGGATCACGCCTTTAATCCCAGCTACTCAGGAGGCTAAGGCAAGCGGATTTGAGTTTGAAGCCCATCTGTACATCCTAGCAATACTCTGTGTTAAAATAAAAACAAAAAAGGCTGGGGATGTTGCTCAGTGGGAGAGTGCCCCTGAGTTTGATTCACAGTACCACAAGTAAAATTTATTGACTATCAGTGTGTATTATAGATGTGAGTCGATAATTTTTCATAGAAGTAAGTTTTAATGTTGGAAGCTTATTGGATATTTATGTCATTTCCTCTACAAAATTCTTTATTCTCCCCATCAAACATCAATACTGGGAATTATATTTGGCTATGATTTCACTATAAAATAAAGTTTGTGGACCCCAAAATAACTATAATGTCTAATATTGTGTACAAACTGACAAAATATTCATTCTTTATAAAAAGTGCATGGTTCCTTCTGTTTGTGTTTATGTAGATCATCTCATGGGTTTCATTACAATTTCTAGGCTTTTTGTCTATTAAAATATCCTTTAAGCTTCCTATTTAAAGAAACTGTCATCTCCAAAATGAAGCTCCTTAGATTCACTCACTTCAAAAATAAGAAACAAGTAGAACAGCTCCAATATATGAAATAGTTTCTTTCATAAACAAAAAGTCCAATACTGAAGTTTTGTCATTAACATTAACTTGTTATTGACCTTTCCAACTGAGAGGTGTGATTAGATTAGTCTGCAAATAGAAATTACAGGACACAAGTGAAATCTTCCTTTCAGAAGGAAGAATAACAAAGTCAAATAGAAAGGAACTGCTTCCCATTGTACATGTGATGACTCCACTAATCTCCCACAAATGGGTATTTATCAATTATTTTATACTGGCAAGAGCTACCAAAATTCATTTCATGCATGACATCAAATATTTTTATCCAGTGTGTTTGTTCTTTGTACTGTTCAGTCTTTGTTCATAAGGTGACCTTTTAACTGAAGTTTGTGATTTAATACTTAGCCATTGTTCAAATCAGTATCTTTGACTTCCATATCATAGAACAAAAATTTTAAAATCTTTTGAAATTCGTGTTTCTGGCTTTTGTATATGGTAACCAGCCATTTGTGAAACTTGACAGTTATAACTGTATTATTTAGAACAAATGTTCTGCAACCACCTTTAGAAGATATTACACACTGCAGTATTTTTGCAATGTCTTCTTTAGGATGTGTGAACGTATTTGTCAGGTTCAGATGAATTACGTAACAATGAAACCTCAAAGCTGTTATGAAGTATCGTTTATGATTACTTTTGTAAAAGAAAATGGAAAAGCACTTGAAATATAATTTTACTGTTTCATATGTATTTTGAAAAAGAAATAAAGTGATTATAAATTATTTTTGTCTGTCTTTGAAGAAAATGCCTTTACCAGATTTAATTTTGATACTTCTGTGTTGTTAAGTTTTTCTTTAATAGACATTGTTTTTGGCACTCAGTAGTGCATTCATTTAACAACAATTCAGTAACTGAGGACAGATTACTGATTAAAGCCCTCCTTTAATATGCACAGTTTCTGCCCCATCCTGAGGTCATGGCTGACACTCCACAACAAAAGACAAGTTAACAAGAGAAAAGCATAACAAATTATTTAATTAAAGTTATATGGGGCCGGGGTTGTAGCTCAGCAGTAGAGCACATGCTTAGTTAGCATGTGTGAGCTTCTGGGTTGGATTCCCCAGCACTATCAAAAAAAAAAAAAAAAGTGACATGGAGCCTTTAGATATAAAAACCCAGAGACTCTGGAAAGCTGACTGGTTTTGTGCTTGAACTCAATGAAGAATGCACAACTGTGTAGAAATATGACTAAACAAGAAAGCTCTGATCTAATGGCAGCAGGCTGGCAGGGGAATCCCAGCAAGACCTATCTCTTAGATCCTGTGAGCTATTTCTTCTTCCTGGGTGCTGGGCAGCATCCTTTCTAAAATGAGAGTCTTACGATCTACTGTCAAGACGAGGTAGGTCAGAGAATTTCTCTATGGCCAACTCTTACAAAGGAAGACAGAGGAGTAACATTTTAGGTTTTATGGCAAGCTATTGGGGAGAGGAATTCAAGATTCCATGGCTTGCCTTTGAGGAGAAAAAGAAGCCAGAGAAAGATGAAAAGGAGACAGGAAGAGACCCTCCCAGTGTCCTTCAATTCAGGGCACTCAGCATGCCAATGAGCCAGACTCTGGAGTGCTGCTTTCTGAACTGTAACACCGTTTTTGTCTCAAGATTATACATTTAAGTTTCTAGATCATTTCCATTAACAAGTAATGAGTCAAGTATTAAAAGAGGTAAATGTCATTTATACATATTGGCTAATATTTTTTACTGCAAAAAAGTTCCAAGTCCCTAGAAATTCCTGAGCAGGTGGTGGGGTCCCAGGAGTTAGGATATGCCTGTTATTTAACATGTTAGTGCCTTATGCTGTGCCTCAGATTCTCAAACACATTTTCCTGAGGAATGTAGAGAAAAAAACTAGTTTTAAGCAGTCAAGAGCACTGGCTCAAAGAAATTCCTCATTGTGGACGAATCAGATGTTCTATGCCTGTAATTACTGTTTATAGATATGAAAAAAGTATAGCCTATAAGAGGAAGCAAGATAATAAATCAATGCCTCTGCCTAAAATTCAAGATAAAAGTCAGTGATTAAACCTTTGCTTAGGTCCTTATATCCAAAAGGAATGAGAAACCTGAGTGAAATCTAAGTTGCTTCTTCTTTTTTTTTGGTACCAGGGATCAAACTTGGGATCTTGCGCTTGGGAGGCAGGCAGCGGAACCACTGAGCTAAACCCCCTACCTCTAAGTTGCTTCTTTAAGAAACAGTCAAGTTGCTACTTTTTTAAGATTTTCTTGCTTTTCCAAATTTCTTCTTGGGAAGTATTTATGTTTATATTCACACTGGTTTAAAATTAACATTCCTACTAACAATGCAATACATTTCCCAAGTACCCTGGTGAACATTGGTACTATTATTTGATTCTTTGTGTTGTTGAGCACAACAAAAATGATGTCAATATTTTCATTTCTATTTCGTTTTCTTTCCTAATGGGAATTAATCGTTTTTTACATATTGATTGGCAGTTTGGATTTCATTGTTTAAGTTTTTCTCATTCTTATGTTGGAATCTACTTCCTCACTGTTTAAAAACACCTCTATAGCAGTGTGTTTTCCTTTTTTCAATGGAGATAAATCCTGTCATATGACCTTATCTCAAACTGATCTCCATTCCCCAAAGCAGAAGGCATAATGTAGCCATGAGTAAATCTAAGGACAAGTACAAACAAAAGTTTCATCTTGTGAAAAGTATGAGTTTTTATCTTGACAATTTCCAGTATGATTTTGGATTGTAACCAAGGTGTGCCTGAAAGAATTAGAAGTAATCCTTTTTGTGGATAATCCATTATTTATGCTATTGTTTACAATCCTATTTTATGCTGAATTTGAACAGTTTTGATTCTGTTCACTTATAAAATGATGCAGAACAACAGGAATGTCCACAGAGACTAAAACCAAAAATCTGAAGAGAAATCACAGGTAGGACATTTTGCAACTTTCATTTTCAGGCTGCAGTTAGAAATTTTCTTAAAAATCTACTTTTCTCCAAATTAAAAAAGAATCATCCAAAGTTCAAGTATGAGTATAAATCATGTGAAGAGAAACCAATTCTATTGTTTCTCGGCCTTTTGTCTAAGATCAAGTGTGAGAAACCAGTTCCCATTATGAGTGCATTTTGTGAATATAACATTAGATTGTGAGCAATTTCACGAGGAAGTGGGTTTTTGGGGTTTTTTATAAAACCTTTACCTTTAAAGGAAAACTAGACTTGAGTCAGTGACAGGGACTCAAACCAGAAAATAAAGGAGCTAACAGGTAAGAATCATATTGAAAGCACAAGACATAAATAGAACATTAAACTGTGCAACTCCAGAAGGCATAAGTCACATTGTATTCTGTGTAAATGTCGCCACTAGGAACGTACAAATCCATCTTAAATTCATAAATAAGGCTTATGTAGTGGTTAAAGCTATAGAATTACCATAACCAGAAACTATAATTTGAAGATAGAGCCAGGAATTGAAGGCTAGTTTTTTTCAATTGGTCACATTACCTAAAACACATAGAACATGCACCAAGCACAATGCTCAACACACATCTTATTCCCAATCTCTATAAAATCTCTGTGATGTATTAGTGACTGTTTTAAAGATGAAAAAATTGAGGTTCCAATCAAGTGGATAAATAGGTAGTTAATGGCAGAGCACAACTTTGTACATGGACTTTTGTTCAAAGTCTAAACTTCTATTCTTTACAAGTCATGAACTATAAAGATTTACATCCTGCTATTCAAAATATTGTCACATGCCCTTTCCTTAATTCTTATCACAAGGCAAGTGGAGCTGCTCATGGCCATTAAACAGAGATTATGGCTGCAGTTAAGAGAGGACAATGAAAGTTCACTGCCATGCAGTAGACAGTTGGCAAATCCAAATGTTTGCCCCTCACAGTACCAGATCATTATATGATCTGCTTTTTCAGTGGAACACACCCTATGATAAAAGAAAACAAAGACAGTTTTGCCTCTGTAGATAAATCATCAAGAGGAAATATATATAAACCTCTTTGACATTTACTTATTTAAATTAAAAGCAGTTATAGCTGCCTGTAATACCAATTAGTTAATCTATTTGCTATTCTATGTGCTATTTTTGCTCTGCTGACTGCTTAATATGAAAGACTATTGAAAGTGTCATGCTAGTTTTTGCACCTCACATCCCACATTCATAACTGAGACCCATGGAGAGGATGAATATTTTCAAAAGCCACAAGATAAGTATCTGTATAGATCAGGTAGCTATGATGGGAGAAAAATGTCAAAGCTGCACTGATCTGAAAAACAACAAAAAGAGTACAAAGAGCAACAATGATTAGAGAAGAGCACATTCCCTAGGCTCAAATCCCAGAGACTTCTGTTAATTGTATTTCATTTTTCAATTACTTTCCTATTAGTACTACCCAAATTTAGATTGTAGAACCTCTTTTTTGCATTTTATAAATTCTGATAATTGGTTTATAAAGCCTCTAGATTCTAATAGAATAAGATTTGATCCCTATCTAATATCACATGTAGAAATTAATTTCCTATTCAAGGATTGATCAAAAATACAGTGAATAGGGCCAGGGATTTAGCTCAGTGGCACTGTGCCTGCCTTGCAAATGCAAGGTTCTTAGTTCAATCCCCGGTACCAAAAAAAAATACAGTGAATGTTTAAATTTTTTTTTCAAAAAAATGTTACAGTAAAAGACATATTGCCATTAACCCCCCTCAGTAACCCCCGCCCCGCTTCAAACAAACATCCCATCATTCTTGCAACTTTCTGAAGCTGTTCAGGAGTCCTCTTTCCTTAGTGTCTTTTCAAGCTATGATCAAAATCACAATGAATGCACCTGCCAAATGCCATCCAGTGAAAAGGCAGGCTCATAAAAATACTATGCTATATTCTCATCCACCTCATTCCCTGGACCTGGCAACTGTGTGACTCCTGGCTCCTACCCAAAGTCAAAAATGACCATGAGGGCCGAGGATTTAGCTCAGTGGTTCCGGCGCCTGCCTTGCAAGTACAAGGTCCCGAGTTCAATCCCCGGTACCAAAAAAAAAAAAAAATAGGTACTAAACGTCTTCCAACACTGTTTTGGGCCGGGGATCTAGCTCAGTGGTTTCTCCACCTGCTGCGCAAGCGCAAGGACCTGAGTTTGATCCCCGGTACCAAAAGAAAAAAAAAAGAGTATTAAAAATGACCATGAAAGATAAGCATTCTGAAGCAATTTAGGACATTAAAACAGCCATGATAGCACAACTAAGGATATTCACCGAAGAGGACATTCAGAACTGCCTCAGAAAGGGGCAAGAATGATTGGAGAAGTGTGTTCAAAGCAAGGAGGAGTATGTTAAGGAATGGCAATGTGTCTTTTACTGTAATGTTTTTTCTTAAACATTTACCATATGTTTTGATTACATCTCGTAGGTAATACTTAAAATATTAAAACTATTAATCTTCTGGGAGACCAAGCAGGATACTTTTGGGATCTTGGAGTAGGCACACCTGGCCAACACTTTCTAGTTTCTTAGAAATGACTCAAAATAATTAGAGCAAGTCCTGCAAATACAAAGATTTAAATAGTCTCTAAATTGATCTCAAAGCAACTCAAACTTCAAAGCATCTTCAATCAAAACTCCAATATTTTCACTTTTGTTGTAATGGAATTTAAGCTGACTCTTAAAGTGTGGGAAAGCAAAGGTCTACAGATAGATATTCTGGTAAAAAAGGAAGAAGATGAAATAAAACTTAAGCTA